GGCCTGTGGCAGGTCTTTGGGGAATTGTTTTGTCTGCCTACAGTGGCATGGGAAGACCCAGCCTGAAAGTGGATGGCACCACTCCCTGGTTTGGGGGTCCTGGACTATAAACAAGTAGAGAAAGCTAGATGAATATTAGACATGTGTTTTAGTTAGGGTTTTTTTTTTTTTCTTTCTGTGAAGACACACCATGACCACAGTAAACTCTTATAAAGGAAAACATTTAATAGTGGTGTCTCACGTACAATTCAGAGGTTCAGTCCATAATCATCATGACAGGACATAGCAGTGAGGAGGCAGACATGGTACTGGAGAAGGAGCCCAGAGTTTTACATTTTGCAGGCAACAGGAAGTGAACTGTCTCACTAGACGTGGCTTGAACGTATACGATACCTCAAAACCCACCTCCACAGTGACACACTTCCTCTGACAAGACCACACCTACTCCAACAAGGCCACACCTCTTAATAGCACTACTCCCTTTGCGGGCTGTTTTCTTTCAAACCACCACGTTGTGCATGTACCCCTTCTCTCCCAGCTTTTGACTGAGGATGTCACGTGACCAGCCCTTTTACGCTCCTGCCACTGTAAATTCCCCGCAGTGATAGACTTGACCTGGGTGTGTCAGCTGACACAAACCCTTCCTCTTCTAGTTGCTGTTTGTGGGAGGGCAGGGGTTCGAAGCAGAGTTTCTCTGTATAGTCCTGCCTGTCCTAGAACTCACTCTGTAGACCAGGCTGGCCTTGAACTCACAGAGATCCGCCTGCCTCTGCCTCCCGAGGGCTGGGATTAAAGGCGTGAGCCACCATTGACCAGCTGGCACTCTCTTTTCAGACAAAAGTCTTCCAGTCTTTCTCGGTTGTGTACCCTGGAGTCTTTACTAAGTGGGGTCTTGCAGCTGTGGTGCCTTTATTACTGTCCCTTTCCTTTACTGTAGTGGGGCTGGGCCTGGATGTCAGACAAACACGCGTAACCACGCATCTGTATCCTCAGCCCTGATATCCTCAGCTCTTTAATAATGCTGATTTTTTTTTTAAACACTTACAGCCAGGTGCAAGTTATCTGCCCTTGCTTGTCTGCTAGTTTAAATGCGCCCAAACTTCCAAACTGCACAGTTTCGCATCTTTCTCATCTGCACTTCCTCCAAATTCTTATTATAAACCTGCCTAAAAGCAACTGCCAAAAACAATGCCACCATTTGTCTGCTATGTTTGTCTTGAAATTTCCTCCGCCAGATAAATCAGTTCATCACTTTTGGGTTCAGCCTCACTTAAACTTTCACAGCATGGTCAAAAAAATTCTCTGCTAGAATATGACATGAATAGCCTCCACAGCAGTTTCCCAAACATCCTCATTCCCACCCGTAACCTCACAAATACCGCCCCCCTCTCTCCCCAGACAGGGTTTCTCTGCGTAGCTCTGGCTGTCCTGGAACTTACTCTGTAGAGCAGGCTGGCCTCGAACTCACAGAGAGTCGCCTGCCTCTGCCTCCCAAGTGCTGGGACTAAAGGCACACACTTCCAGTGCCCAGCACGAAAACAGTCTTATTCTCTGCTTGTCCATCAGCATTCTGATCCTCAGAATGGCCCCCTAAGCTTGATTTAGACTTTCCTAGGGCTTCTCTCAGCTGCATCTTCAAAGGTCTACATCCCTCCAGGAAAGCAGTGGCAGAGGCTCCAGAACCTTATGGTCAGGGCCATCACAGCAAAAGCCCCACTTGTCTGGAACCAGTTTTCTGTTTTCCCCCTTTACCCATTTTAAATACCCGATGAAGACAGTTGTTTTCAGTCCATTGTCCTGATAGGGAAGCCATGGGGCCAGGGGTGTGTGGGGAAGATATTTACACTGCTGCCAGGCCACAAGCAGAGGGCTTAGACCAGAGCCGGGGCGGGACTACCCTTGGGTAACCCCCATCTACCATCTAAACCCCAAATCTCCCAAAACAGTGTCACTAGCTAGAACCAAATATTTAAACATATGAGTGCATGGGGGGGTGGGCAGCTCACATCGAAATCATTACAAACCGCACATTGTCTCATCCCATCTCGTTGCAGCAGAGCACTGTGGGGAGTCTAGATGAACAGAGGGGACTCAAACCAAATCCCAGAGCCAACAAGGTTCTTGTTCATAGCTTAAAGTTCAACCGGAAAGTTTAAGCAGCCCCAGAAGATGATGAGAATGATGATAAACAGCCCAGGAGACGGCATCCCTGAGGGTCAGTGGGCACTTCCGTGGGGGACGAGGCGAGATGGCCTAAAGATGCGCAGCTGACCGTTGGCACTGCACTGCCCAGATGGCTTCCCCGATGCTATCATCTGCTGGCACAATGGTGTGGGAAGAGGCAGCTCTCAGACTGAGGGGCATTTGGTTCTCATTCTCCTGGCTCACTTTGGCTTTCGGTTTCCTCCAAGACAAACACCAAATGCTTGAGTGCTGAGAATGTCCACCCTGGGTGTGAACGCAGATGGAGAGAGAGAGCTTGCCTTTGATTCCTCAAAGTGTGGCCTTTATTGCCCGAGCTGCTTATTGACTTATGCGCTGATTAAAAGGAAGGAGAAAACCCTCTCCTGACAAACCTCGTTCCAGCCCTTTCCAGGGTTTAAATGAAGTTCAAATCCGGAGCAGCTTGGCTCTGTTGAGGAAAGCCAGTATTAGCCAGTTTAGCTTTCATATTACAGGGAGCTAAAAGCAGCATCTTATATCTCCAGGGAAGATAATGTCTTCCTTTAAAAAGGTAGAGGACAGAGAGATGCCTCAGTGGGTAAACATTTTTGCCCGGTAGGTAACTGTGCAGCGCCTGTGTAAGGCTGGGAATGGAGTGTGGCAACGATCCCTGTTCTCCCAAAGGGAGACGGGGACAGGGACAGAGAGGGGACGTAACTTTGGTGTTGGTCTCAGATAAGGCAGAAGGTGAAGGCTGGCACCCACGGTTGTCGTCTGACCTTCATATGTGCACTGGCACACATGCACCCCCACACACGCCTACAAATGTGCGACCATACATGTGTACACACACACATATGTTGGTTCTCTTAATTCTGGGGTTTGCTGTAACTAAAGAAATGGCCTTCCCCTTCCCAAAACGTGTCATTGAAACAGTCTGTAACCCCATGACTCGGTGCTGCCCCTGTGCCCACCTTTACACTCCATAGAATGTCTTAGACACTCTGGGATTAAGATACCTGTGGTTCATTCCCATTTTTAAAAAATGAAATGTTTACTTATTTATTATTTATACAGTGTTCTGGCTGCATGTATTCCTGCAGGCCAGAAGAGGGCACCAGCTCTTGTTACAGATGGTTGTGAGCCACCATGTGGTTGCTGGGAATTGAACTCAGGACCTCTGGAAGAGCAGTGGAGCTAGGTCCCCGCCGCTTCTATGTACGCTTGAACTCAGCTCGCTACCAAAGCACCCCGGGACCTTCCGGAGTCAGCTCCCTGATGATCTGACTCACTCCCTGCGCCGCAAGAGTCATATGACCCATAAAGACTATGCTTCACTTCCTAGGAGCAGTGCACGGCCCAGAACTCATTGCCTGCCTGATACTTTTTACCCGTGTTTGTAAATGGAGTGTACGGATGGACGGGGACCCGCAGGACATCTGGCACACGGCCCAGGCAGAAGACTAGAGGATGTGTGTCACTGTGATGGCGGCACTGAGGCCATGACGGGGCAACAGTGGGAGGGCCAAGCAGAATTAGTTCCTAGAAAGGAAATTACAGCTTGCGAGGGGCCCAGTGAGGGACACTAATTGAGCCCACATGTCAGGGTTGGTCACAGCCTGTTTGCTGGGCTGGGTATAGCTGAGGGCAGTGAGGAAAAAAATAAGCTCAATATGGCTACCAGTAGCACCAGGCCTCTGGACTTAGACCAGACACAGCTGTTGCTCCCCTAGGCATCCCAACCTGCCTCGGCCTCTAGCTAGAACCTCTTCTGTGGCCATTGTGGATGAGGCTCCGCCGGGCAGAACCAGCCTAGTTTCTGGTCTTCCCTGGTCTTTACTATTAGCTTCACCATTTTAGCTTTCAACTTGCTTGAAGGAGAAGTCTTCGGACCATTTTTCAGAACTCTGGGAGCTTAGGCTCTACACAGGCAATCGCCTCAGAATCCCAGAGACGGGTCTTAGCCTCTGCATCTGTCAGAGCCTCCCTTCTGTGCCTTGCCCCTACCTGGGCTGCAGCCAAGCTCTGAGTTCTCCCTGGAAATCCTTCCCCAAGGCGTAGTGTGCCGGTGTGAGGTGCAGACACCTAGGCCATCAGCTGTCTGGAAATGCTGCTTCCAGCTGTGTAAGACGTAACCATGGTCACCAGCCAGCGCCTGCTGGTTTCTCATGAGTGCAATTTATAGGCAAAAATTTCACTCTTCATAAAAAGGTCCCACGCTCCTGTCAGGAAGGGTAATTGTGGCTTTTAGCTGCCTGGGCCACTGTCATTATCCATTTCCTCATGTGCTTAGTGGCTATTGCCCATGGGATTTAGGTCATAGCCTTGGTTAATGAGTAAAAGAGGATATGAGGTGGACGTCCAGGCCTGGTGACTCAGCCGGGCCCTGCGTCCCTGTGAGTGGCTCTTCCCAGACCTGACCTTGGTTTGTTCACGTTGGCTGTGCCTCGCCTGGGGACAGGGGGGAAGCATGAGTGGAATGAGCTCCCAAACCATTGCTTTCGTTCCTCTTGCAGGAGAATCACAAGGGCCACAGGGGTCAGTGAGCTGGGAAAATCTGGTACACGGTAGCCATCTTTATCTGGGCCACGTGACTCCCGTATCTACTGGTCCTATATCTACTGGGTCCTGTGGGGGTTCAAGTCCACACAAACACTGTCTTATCTGCGGCAGATGCTGAATCGACATTTGAGACAGAATTCCAAACAGCTGTGGGTCCTAGACTACTGTGGGATTTCAGACCACTCCCTCCTTCACCTGACCCCACCCTTGTCCATTTGGTTTGCACATTCCAGCAGCAAAAACACTCCTCTTTCTACCTGAGGTGGAGCCTGAGAGAGACAGGCTGAAGGACACCTCCCTCCTCCTCAGGCTGCTTCCTCACCTCCCCAGCGACTGTGGACGTGGTTAGACCTGGAAATTAAATATCTATTCTTCCTGATGAGGAGGAAGGTTGACTCAGAGAAGGCCAACTATTTGTCCAGGTTACAGAACTAACTCCTTTTTCCGAGGCTCAGTGTCCAACAGTGTCCTAGGTTCTCAGGTCTTCTGCACAGATGAAGGCACCCCCTAGAAACAGAGCCTTGGAAGAATACAACAGGTGTTTGGAGCCTGCACCCCTGACCCCTACCCTCTCTCAGGTTACAGAGCCCAACACTCAGCCCCGGGGATGAAGGGATCGGTACAGGCCAAGACTTTCTGCTCTGATGCAGCTACAGCCTACTCACCAGGAACAAACAGCCCCTTGACGACAAGTAAGTGGCTGTGGTTCTCTGGGGAGAGTCCAGTGAGACACCGGCAGTGGTGGGGCTGCTCCCGGGAAAACCCCATAACCTCAGCACCCAGAAGCCAGATGTCAGGGAGGTCCAGCATGGGCGGGAGGTTGGAGCAGCACAGGTTCGGAAAGGTTGCCACATCTGGCTCTGCATCACCAGCTGTGCTCCCATGTGTACATGTGGACAGTGTGTTATAAGGACTGATCTAACAGGTGAAAAGCACTTGTGGATTTCCTGGTCCAGAGTAAACCTGGGAAGCATATGTTAATGCTATGAACGCCAGCCTGGGGACGGTGCTCAGAGTTCAGTTGGCCTGACTTCCTGCTCCCTTTCCAGGGCCTTCTGTTCTAGGTACAGCCTCTCATTCTCATCATCATGTCCACATCTGAGCTCTGCTTCGATGAGACATTCAGTGTGGGTGGGCAGCTTCAGCAAAGCATGCAGTGTGAGTCAGCAGCTTCAACGAGGCATGCAACATGGATCTGCAGCTTTGACAAGGCATGTAGCTTGGAATGGCAGGTCATGTGCAATGCCATCAGACACTAAGGACATTCCACGTACTTTTGTTTGCATTGTTTGGCTTTTCTGACTTGGAGAAAATACGGCATTTCTTATTATTAATAATGATACTGAATTAATAATAATGATGATGATGTATTGTTTTTGTTCGTTTTGTGTGTGCTGTATTATCTCACCAATCCAACTCGAGTACAACATGTATTTCTTCTGCCTTAATTTTAATTTCTCTGCAAACCATTCAGGGAAGAGTCCTTCTTATTTTTCTGTTGTTCCTTTTCATCTCAATGGAGAGGCTACATAATTTCGAGCCACAGGTAGGGTGACCTCATGATTATAAATGCTCTCCCTGACCTGTCGATTGGCAAGGACAAACCCAGTGCTCCTATAGGAGATGGAGGTTTGCGCTCTGTCTCCCTTTCAGCAATGTGGAAAGTGAGGCCGACAGGAAAACAACCCTGAGAGACGCGGGGCCTTGAAGACTGGCCTGACTGAGGTGTGTGTCCTTCTGTGGAAATGCAAACATAGACGAAAGGCCCTATATTTAATATTATTTCAAAATATGAAACAATATTATGTTATTTTTTCTAAATTTTTACCCTGGTGTCACCTGAATGGCCATCCTTAACAGCTCAAGCCTTTTCTCATCTAAACCACAATTTTTTGTTTGTTTGTTTTTTGAGGCAGGGTTTTTCTGTGTAGCCCTAGTTGACCTGGAACTTCCTTTGTAGGATGGTATGGCTTCAAACTCACAGAGATCTGCTTGTCTCTGCCTCACAAGATAAGTCATACTTTTGTTATGTTAGAAGCAAAACTGTTACAATGGGGGCAGGGAAATTTTATTCCTTTGAATTATTTCTTAGGAACAAATGGACAAAAATGAGATCAAGGACTCAGGGAGTGTGGATTTATTATTTTCTACTCTCTTTGGTAAAAGTCAGTCTATTTGCTTATTATCCATAAATATATCCATTTATTTCTTTGTTCAGAATCCAACCATTCATCCACCACCCATCTATCCATCTTATTTTATCTCCTCCGAGCCTTAAACATATTGCAACTTGTTGTGGAATAACCTTTCTGTACACTGAGAAGAAGTGTCACTTGGATTGATTTAATAAAAATCTGAATGGCCAATAGCTAAGCAGGATTTTCAAGGCAGAGAGAAGGCTGGGAAGAAGAAGACAGAGTCATCAGCCAGAGGCAGAGGAAGCAGGATGTGCAGGGGGAGAGGAGGTAGCAGCCACGAGCCACGATGTAGATTAATAGAAATGGGTTCATTTAAATTATAAGAACAAGTTAGAAATAACCCTGAGCTATAGGCTGAGCTTTCATAATTAATAATAAGTCTCTGTGTGGTTATTTGGGAGCTGGCTGGAGGGACAGAGAAAGACACACTACAGCAGACATCTTTTTGTAAAAGTGTGCTAGCACCTGTGTAAATGTGGATGTGGCAGAGGAAGTCCCTGCCGTCTGTCACACCCCAGCGTCTACTCTTTCCTGTGATAAGTCCCTGCGAACTCTAATCCTACTCTTCACACGACTAAGGGAGGGCGAGCGAGTCTCATGGACTCACACATGACAGAAGCTATACAGCAGACGCCACCTTCCCCAGGCCCTGTCTTCTGGGAAGCCAGCTTGTAAAAGGAGGGAACATGAATCTTTTATAAAGGATAGGTGGATTTTTCTTTTGAAAAGACGAGGTCTCACTGTGTAGCCCTGGCTGGCTTGGAACACACAGAGAGCTGTCTGCCTCTGTGTTCCAGGTGCTGGGATAAAGGCCTGCAGCACCACGACCATGAATGGACTCTTTGAAAAATACTTGCAAGGTCACAGAACCCTGCACTGGTGAACCGTGAAGGAACATGTGCTTTTAAAAACCGCTGCAAAAGGGGGAGTTTCAAAGGCATGATTTCTTCCTAGCCAGCAAACAGCGTGGAGAGACAGCGCAGGGTCTGCTCTTCAGCCGTGTGCTGTGAGTGCGTCCACATGCAAGGGAGATGATCAGAGGTGTGGGTAGCAGTGTTCATTCATAGCCTGGCCTGCAGTGTAAGAGTCAGCCAAATGTCTCCCTCAGGGCGCCTTCACCAAGCTCAGGCTCATCTTTCTCTCAAAACCACAGTTGAGAATGACTCTGACCATACTGGTAACCAGTGAGCATCAGTAATGGACATCTAGGTTTGTTCAGATGGAAGGATTTCCTATGTATCATTGAGTAAATAATAGGAGTTCCAAATGAGGACATGGACACCGTAATTTCATATTTATGAAAGCTTAGGGGCACTAACATTTGTATAACAAATGTCCAAGGCAGTTACTGAGGCCTTCTTCCCCCTGGATTAAGGGCTAGCCTTGATTCTTTAGACAAAGTCCCCTCAAGCCACCTGCAGGAGACATTTAGTTACTGTTAGGCACACACAGTAACTAGCTCAGAAGCGAGTCCCACCGCTTTTGAGTTTATGCTCCGGAATGCTTCCTGGCTACCACACCATTGGGTCAGAACATGGAGGTTCCTTGCCTCAGTTTCCTCAGAATAAGGAAGCTTGTGAAGAGACCAGTGTTCGAGTCCCTATAAGCCAAGGGGAGGCTGGGTTTCCACAGAGGCAGGAGGTGAAGGTTAAATCCACTCTCGCCCCACAACTGTACAGGGAGCAGAGGGCACCCAGTCAACAGTGGCCATAGGACATGGCTGTCTGGACTCTCAGCCCCAGGACACAGACAGGCACTGTTCTGTAAAACACCCGGTTCTGGGGACGCAAAGGTCAAGATTCAGGCTTCTTGCCCTGAAGGAGCTCAGGCCAGGGGGAAAGCAAATAATGCAAGCCTCCACGTGACTGGCAGGAAAGGTGACCCAGTCAAGGAGGAGGTGCCCCTGTGCTGGCCTGAAAAAGGGCTGTTGTAGACACAGCAAAGCCGCATGGTCGGAGGAGGCAGCTCCCGCGGGGCTCCTCTGGGTGGCAGCTTCATTCTGTCTCACAGTCTGGCACAGTGGCCCACAGAGCATCAGACATGCCACCGAAGGGCCAGCCTCACGTCGTTTCCAGTCAGGAGGACACTGGGAAGAGGCTGGAATTTAACCTCTTTCTGCTGTGTGCCTTGGCTTTGTACACCATGCCCATGAGAGGAAGATCACACACACACACAGAGGCCCTAGGCAGCCAGCTGAGCAAGTGATGGGCGGAGGGCATTCCCGGAGGATGGAGTGAAGTCTGAAACCCTCAAGAACGACTCCAGCCAGCAGTACCATAGACCCCCCAGCCCTGATATCTTTGAGACACAGCTTGTGTTTAGAAAGTGTGGCCGCCTTACTTTTGTGGGTGTGGGGAGCCATGTATGCGCACATCCCCTGGGAGGGATGAGACAAACAGCTTCCCTGCTGTCTCCTGCTTCCACTGGGTTCATTGCCAATGATTCGCTCACCCACGGTCCTGAGGTTCCTGCTGGCAAAGGACAGGCATCTTAGTGTCTTTATAGCCTCTGAGATGAAGGTTCTCCCTAGCCTGGCCTCCACCCACGTGAGAGCGGCTGACTCCTTTAGGGAATGATGGCAGGATGTTCTTCATGAAAGGACTTACTGAAGTTGTAGTTCTTATTTAAAAATTGATGAATTATTTGTGTGTGTGCATGTGTGTGCATGACACATATGTATATGTGTGTGTATGATATATGTGTGAATGTGGGGGCGCGAGAATGCCATGGCACCCTGTGGAGGTCAGAGGACAATTTGCAGGAGTCATATCTCTCTTTCTGCTGTGTGGGGATGGAACTCAAGGCACCAGGCTTGATGACCCATGCCCCTACCCACTGAGCCATCTTGCCAGGCCCTGAGGTTGTCCTTCAAAGCAGCCCTCTATACTGAGCATGTAAGTGTAGGGACAGCTTTTCCTCCAGGGTCCTCCTTCCCCACCCTGGGCTCAGGGCTGGATAGCGCTGTGGTCCTTGGGTATAGATTGTTTTCTGATGTGAAGAGAAAATTGTTCTGGAAACTACAATTTGTTCCTGGCCCCAATGACTCAGCAAGCCCCCATGAGCTCTGAGAAGGTCTGGGAGTTAGGGAGGCAAGAGGGACCCATGTGCCCAAGAAGACTCATATGGCTGCCTAGAGAAGGGAGGTTTTAAATCCTTAGGGTGGCAACAAAGGTGCAGGCTAACATTTTTCCCAACAAGGGGCAGTTGGTCGAACAGGTTTCAACAAAGAAAAATCATTTATGTATTTTATTCTTTAAAGAAATGTTCTCATGTAGACCAAAGTGGCCTCTAAACAATCATGCGGACAAGAGTTCCCGATGTCCTTGCTCTACGTCCTTACTGCAAAGATTGCAAACTAGAATGCACAGTTCTGGGGATTAAACCCAGGCCCTTATGCACGCTAGGCAAGCCCTGGGCCAACCGGACTACGTCCCCAGCCTCATTCAGGCATTTTAGAGAAGGTGCCAACAGCTGCGAGGAGGTCAGAGGTCCAAGTGTGAGGTGAGAGCCACCACAATCACAGAAGAAGTTGTGACTGATCCTTCCAGGCTTTGGGATCCAGCTCTAAGGATACATGACCTGTGTCACCATCTCCCATTGTCATGGAGACAAGGAGCTTTGTGGTTGTTCTGTGCAGTGGCGGAGGTTAAATTTTCATATTTAGCCTGTGGCCTTCAAGGGAGAGTGAAGGCCTGCTCAATGAGATTTTAAGCAACTAAATTAAACCAGACTGTATTAGGAAGTTCCAGGAGTGAGACCCCAAGAGCTGGAAGGACTTCGGTATCCCTGGGAGAAAGATCATTGGAAAGCAAGGAACTCCAGTTGCTCCAGGGAGGACCTGTCTCTGGGCTGTTGTCTATTGCATAAGAACTGTAGCAATAGCAGTTCAGGTCTCCCTGGTATAAAGTCCACAACTCCAAAGAGACTTACAGTACACTCTGAGGACCCTTGGTCACCAGGGAAGGTGGGAAGGTATCTGTTTATTCAACAAGGATGGCCACAGGAAGAACTGTACTTAAGGAGGAAGAAAGATGATAAATTTGAATAATCAGATTAAGTAATTGCTCCAGTTTGTTTTTTAAAAGATTCATTTACATCATATATGAGTATTTTGTTTGCATGTATGTCTGTGCACGCAGTGCCCCCACGGAAGCCAGAGGGTGTCAGATGGTTGTGAGCTGCCATGTGGGTGCTGGGTATTGAACCCCAGTCCTCTGGAAGAGCAATCAGTGTTCTTAACTGCTGAGCCATCTCTACAGCTCCTGAACTTTCTAGTTTTTATTGTTGATTTGACACAAACAAGAGTCACCTGGGAAGAAGGACCCTCAGTTAAGGAATTGTTCCGGTCAGATTGGCCCGTGAACACATTTGTGGGCATTGTCTTGATTGCCGGTTGGTGTACGATGGCTCAGCCACTGCGGTCAGTCTCATCCTTGGGCAGACGGTCCCGGGGTGTCTACCAAAACCAGCACGAGCAAGCCAGAGAGCGAGCCAATAAGCAGGTGTTCCACTGCAGTTTTTGCTTCAGTTCCTACTTGAATTTCTGCCTCTCTTACAGATTGTGACCTGGGAGTGAGTGAGTGTAAGCCAAATAACCTCTTTCCTTCTCAGATTACTCTGGCTTGAGTGTTTTATCACAATTGGAAGGAAATGAGGCCAG